TCTGCCGCTTAGGGATGGCTCCCTTTGGCTGTTTTTGAGGCTCGACCCGCTCCCTGAGCGTGCAGCGCCGTGGGATGCTGGTCAGGCGGTCCACTCCTCCCATGTCCTGTGGCACAAAGGCGCCTTCACTTTCTGCGGCGAATGCAGATCCTGGGCCATAGCTCGCCAGATAGCCTGCAGGAGGCTTGCCCTGTGCTTCCCTGGGGCCGCATGCCATCACGAAACACCAGCTTGTGGTGCTGCAGCGTGTGTGTAAAGGCTTACCGCCATCCAAGGCCGCCAAGAGCTGGGTGCACGAAGTACTTTACCCTGCCTGCCAACCCCATGCACCCCTTCCATTCTGGAGTTTGGCTGGCAACGGCGCGCTGAAAAATCCGCCCCTCCCCCCCCCCTTCCGCCTCCTCCTCCTCTGCCTCCTCCTCCTCCTCTTGCTCCGCCTCCTTCTCCTCTTCTTGTTATTCATCTTTTTCTTACTCCTCATCCTCTTACTCCTCTTCCTCCTCCTCATCCTCCACTCCCCATCCTCCTCCTCATCACCCCCCACCCCCTCCTCCTCTTCCGCCTCCCCCGCCTCCTCCTCCTCCTCCTCCTCCTCGTCCTCGTCCTCCTCCTGCTCCTCGTCCTCCTCCTGCTCCTCGTCCTCGTCCTCGTCCTCCTCCTCGTCCTCTTCCTCCTTCTCCTCGTCCTCCTCCTCCTCCTCCTCCTCTTCCTCCTCCATTCGTTTTCCTGTCAAATAACTTTGCCCTGCCGCGCCCCGAAGCCAATTTTTAGGGCGGTGGGCGGGCCGGTCGTTTCGCCTGAGACTTCCCCGTCCTTCATAACCTTTCGCTTAAACTATGGCAAGGGTTTCACATATGGAGGGCGGGTCGTGTTCAAACTGTGGCTCTCTCTCTCGCCTCAGAGCCGCGCACATTCGTTTGAACACTGTGCAAGAGTTTCACATATTGAGGGCGAGTGGTTTTCAAAACGTGGCCCTCGCCTTAGCGCCGCGCACATTCGTCTCACGTTTTCCAGGAAATTCACGGATTGAGGGCGAGCCGTTTTCAAAATGTGGCTCCCGCCTTAGCGCCGCGCGCATTCGGCTTAAACAGTGGCAAGCGTTTCACGGATTGAAGGCGGGTCCTTTCAAAATGTGGCTCTCGCCTTAGCGCCGCGCACATTCGTCTTAGAACTTTGCAAAAGTTCCACGGGTTCCCATGGTCAACGTACCAGAAATGGTGTTTGGAAGGATTCTGGTTTGTGAGGGTGCCCAAGCTATGTTGATTCGCGGTGTTCAAATCCCACTGCGTTCTGGCACGATCTAAGATCGTCAAGGCGCAACAGTCAGGTTGATCCGTGGCGTTGGAATCCGGAGAAAACGTTTTGGCATGCTTCAGGGTCTTGAAACAATTGTCTTCCAACGGGGCAGTTCCCTCAGAGGAAATAAACCGTTGTAGGGGCCTATGACGAGGGAGCTTCGAGGGAAGGTGTACATATTCCAACATCGTTGATGACTCTTGGGTTTACACTGGTCCTCGTCCTCGTCCTCCTCCTCCTCCACCTCCTCCTCCTCCTCCTCCTCCTCCTCCTCCTCCTTCTCCTCCCCCCCCACGCTCAGCCCCTCCTTCAACCCCTTCCCCTCCTCCTCCTCGTCCTCCTTCTCGTCGTCCCCCTCCCCACTGCTCCTTCTCCTTCTCCTCGTCCTTCTACTCCTCTTCATCCTCCTCCTCATCCTCCTCCACCCCCTCTTCCTCCTCATCCTCCACATCCTGCTGCTCTTCCTCGTCCTCCTCTTCCTCCTCCTCCTCCTCCTCCCTCCTCCACCCCCCCCCCCCCCCCCCCTCCTCCTCCTCCTCCCTCCTCCTCCTCCTCCTCCTCCTCCTCCTCCCTCCTCCTCCTCCTCCTCCTCCTCCTCCTCCTCCTCCCTCCTCCTCCTCCTCCGCCCCCTCCTCCTCCTCTTCCTCCTCCTCTCTCCTCCTCCTCCTCCCTCCTCCTCCTCCTCCTCCTCTCCTTGCCCTCCCCCTCATCCTCCGTCTCCTCCTCCCCCTCCTCGTCTTCCTCCCCCTGTTTTTCCTCCTCCCCCTTCTCCTCTTCCTCCTCCTCCTCCTCCTCTTCCTCCTCCTCCTCCTCCTCCCCCTCCTCTTCCTCCTCGTCCTTCTCGGCATGCTCGGCGTCCTTTTCCTCATCCTTCGCCTGTTGGTCCTCCTACAAATTCAGAGTCGACGCCCGCGACGCGGCCAACTGCTTAGCTTCCACAATCGATCGCATTGACGGATAGTGTTGGATCTTTTTCCCGGCGAACGAAAGAGGAATGTTGCGTACGTTTGTAAAAAAAGGATTCCAGTATAGATCGGCACATTCGTCGCCGAGGGCGGTGCTCACAATATGTTCAAATATGTTTTTGTTGTGCAGCGGGTGCCGCGGATAACTGAAGATGCTCCACGGTTGGTGGGCCCCCAGTCCGTCAATCAGACTGCGGAAAGATAAGTCATGTTCACCTATTGGAGGGGACGTCTAGAGACGGTTACCAGTGAATCTGAATCAGAGTGGGTGTGAGTATGAGTCATGTCTGAGTGCGAGTGAGTCTGAGTGCGAGTGTGCCTGAATGCGACTGAGCCTGGATATGAAAAGAGAAATGATATGAGTGTAATGAGTGTTGAGTGCTACTGGATCTGAATGTGAGTGCGCCTGAGCAGGAGTGTATACGAGCTTCGAAGGAGAGACAGCGAGAGAGAGATCTGAGTGTGAACGAGTCAGAGTCATAGCGAATCAGAGTGCGAGTGAGGCTGAGTATGTGTGATATGAGCGCGAGTGAGTCTGAGCATGAATGATACGCGCGTGATAAGATGGGGGAAAGGGGGCGGGAACGAGCGAGACGGAGACTCCCCGGTATAAACAAAAACCAATACTTATGAGATTCGGAATACATTGCGAAGAAATCTTAGGCGGAACGGCTTCTGGCACCCGGCGGGCACGGGCTCCCAGCGCCCCCCTGCGGGAACCCCCTGGCGAAACGCTCTTCGGGGGGAAAAAAACAGCGACGCGAAATTGCCCGAACCTTCTGGGCCTTCCCTACCGTCTCTTGTAGGAGGGCGCGCGCAAGGCTGAACGGCGCGCGTACGCAACATCCCCGAGTGGCGCGACGCAGCTCACCGAGGTCACTTGGAGCTCCGCGGGGTGGCGTTTGGGCCCATTTTGGGCCAGGCCGACGCGTGACCAACGTACCACTTACGCCGCCCGCGGAGCTGAGACAGACCGGACTTGCAGGAGAGCATTCACATCAGCACCCTCCTGCGGCTAGAGGGCGACCGCAGGGCCCTCGCACAGGCGCTGGCTACTGTAAGGATGCTGGCCCTGCAGTAGCCTGCCTCGCCTGCGCCTGGCCTGGGAGTTGGCGGGCATGCCCTCACGAGTCTGAAGGATCTCCTTAGCCCTGCTGCTCGAGAAGGCCCCACAATTGCCAGAAAACAAGGAGCTGCCAACGCGCAAGAGCACATGTCGGCGCAGCGGCAGCTGCCGGGGGGCCGCCCTTGGAGCGGGTGAAACAAAAAACAGACATCCCTCGCAGGCGCCTGTCGGCAGGGCGTCTGGAGCAGGGCTTCCTTGCCCTTCAAGGGGCGGGCATGCCCCCCGCAGCACCAGCAATGACACCGCCGAGCCCCTCTTTCCCAAGAGAGGGAGCGAGGGGAGGTCCCAGGAGGAGGCCCGCCCCGAACCCGCCGCCTCCCCCGCGCCCCCACCCTTTGGTTATCCCGGCCAGTGGCGTCTGCAAAGGCACCGGCGTGCATGGTCACGCTGGCCGCAAAATTGCACGCATTACAAGTATCATATGGACAATTCTGCCAGACTTTCCTTATCCAGGCGGGGGGGTCATCGAACGCAGCTACAGTTTTGGCCTCGCGGTCGGCCCGGGCGTCCCCGATGACGTCGAAACGCTCGAGGCCCTCGAGGACCACGGGATCACGGCCCGAGTGGGCATTGACGTTCACAACATCGAGCGCCCCTGGATCCGATAAAACATCGTTAGCGAGGGCCCAAATCTGCCTCCAAGGTCAGAGAGGGGCCTGCGGCGCTTGGCGCGCCGGGCCCCCCCGCGCTGGAACCCTTTGCGCGCCGTAGGATCGTCGACCCCTTACTCGGAACGCTGACAGCCGCGGCGCGAAACTTGGAGCACACCGATACCTGAGGGCAGAGCTTGGGATCCTAAGCCCTCTCAGGGGGCGTCCGCCCGCTTTCAGGGCCCGCCAGTCCTCGTTCAAAAACGCAAGCCCCCGCCCATAACTGTTGCGCCCTGGGGGGCCTAGCCCAGAGCCACCAGAATGCGCGCGCCCGCAATGAGGGGGTCGTCTCCGAACTCAGGATTGAAGGCGTCGTAGCGCCCCTGCACCTGCTGTCAGGGGCCATCGACGGGGCGGGCCGTAAGGCCTCGGGTGAAAAGGAGGGAAAAATCGGAGGAGGTCTTCGCCCTCTGCGCTATCGCGGGGACATCCTCGCCCGCCTCGCCACGAGCGGCGTCGAGCCCAGGGCGGCTGCAGAAGCGATGGTGCCGCGTGCCCCGAACGGCCTGGCACAGCGGGCGCACGCGCGGGTCACTGTGCCCAGCCTGACCTTTTCCTGGGCCCAGAACGATTTACAAACGAACGCAGCGATCACCCGCCGGCGGCCCGGCGGCACGGATTGGCTCCAAGACCGAGCGAACGAATCGAGGCCCATCTCCGCAGCCCAAGCATGTGTTCCAGGACCTCCAGTCTAACGGAGGAGAAGCCTCCACGCACCAGCCGCTCCGAAATCCTTCCTCGGTAAGGTTATCTCTATATATATATATAACCTACCGGTATGCAAAGCACAGAAAAAAAAAAAACAACAGCAACAAAAAACACAAAAAAAACAAAACTTCCTCGGGAAGGTATCAGGAGGTGTTGGCCGAACTGCCGCACCCAACGGATAGCCGACCACGCGCCGACCCGAGGCCTACAGCTAGCCGTGTCGGGCGCAGCCCACAGCTCTCGCGCATCGCGCACCAGCTGCACGGGGAGCGTACCCGCCGACATATTGAAGTCGCCGCCCGCGACCAAGTCCAGCCCCGCCGCGTTGAGCCTGGCCAGGTAGCACACGAGGATCATCCCGAGCCGCTGGTTCTCCACACTCCATCCGACGTTGTCGCGCAGGTATGCCGCTACCGCAACCAGGCCCCCAGCCACTCCCCAGTGCAAGCGAGCCGCCACCAGGCGCGCCTCAGCCCAGGAAAGGGCGGCTGGCGACGACGTTGTTGGCCCGCGCCAAGACCGCCACCACGCCAGAAGTGGTGTCGCCCCCACGGGCGCCAGCGGCGGCCGCGGCCCACACGCCCGCGTAGCCGTGGTCCAGCATGGCGTGCTGCAGGGTGGCCAGCCCGTCGTGGTCCTTGGCGCGGTGCCCCTGCACCGCCAGCACCACCACGTCGGAGTGCTGACCCAGCCCCTCGACGCACGGCGCCAAGGAACCACCCGCCGCGGCGCTCATAGCGGCAATGCTGCCCTTCGCCATGGTCGGGAACCACGCGCTAAGGACCAGCGGCGCCTTAATGAGGCTGAAGTCGCCGCGCGCTAAAGCGGCGCAGCGGGTTCGCACGGCCTCTTCGCCGCCTTCATGCTCCAGCCCGACCTTCGACAAGTGCTGCTCGAGCTGCTCCAGGGACTCCTGGCTGGGCTGCCACTGCTTGGCAGCCCCCGCGCCCGCAGCCGCGGCGGTTGACTGCTAGGCGGCGGCCGCGGCCTGCGAAAGGCCGCCTCCCGCGCTGCCGTCATCAGCCACGCACTCCTCGCCCGCGGCCGCCTCGGCGGCGGGCCCCGCTCGCCGCGCCCGCTGGGTGGCGTAGAGCTCGGCGACCCGCTCGCCCAGCACTCCCGCCGCCCGCTTCTGCGCCTCTGCAGGCTGCTCGTCGTCAGGGTGCTCGGCCAGCTGCACGCGCATGATGGCCTCCAACTCCCCGACCACGATGCCAAGCCCGCCGATGACGTCCAACGTCATGGCCTGGCCAGCAGCGCGGGGAGGCGGCACCTGCGGGGCCTGCTGCTGGAGCGTGGCCAGCTCCGCCTGCAGCGCCGCCTGCTGCGCAAGGAGCTCGGCGTGGACCTGTTCCGTGCGCGGCACCTTCTCCCGCGCCCGCTGGAGCGCCTCCTTGGCCTTGCGCATCGCGCCATCTGCCTTGTCCAGGCGATCGGCACATTGTTTGGCCTTGTTGGCGATGGCGTGCGTCCTGGCGTGGAGCGGCTGTTGGCGAACACCTTGGCTTTCGCCTTCTCGAGCCTGGCCCGCAGCTCGTCGCGCGGCGCCTTGGCCCAGCCCGCTGTCACGTCCTTGGGCGCCTGGAGGCCCAACTCGCACTCCTTGACCTCGGCGGCCAGGGCCGCATCGTCCTGGCCGGCAGCGGCGCCGTCGTCGACCACCATAGCCCTAGGCCCCCGCGAACTGAGGGCCCCCGCCACCAGCGCCGCTGGCGCCCTTTATGTTTCTGGAGCTCCTGGAGCACACTCTGCGCCTGCGCCAACTGCGCCGCGACATGGCCGCCAACAACCTATGGCGGGACCTTGCCGCTCGCCGCCGCGGGCTGCTTGGCCGCCTCGCCAGGCTGGGGCAGTGGCACATTCGCCCCGAAGCACGCGTGCTTGGGCAGCCTGCGCGCCTGGCACTTGAGCGCCGTCCCCCAATTGACTACCGCCCGCCCGCGCTTGCTGATGCAGGACTTGCAGGCCCAGTCCTGGCGGGCGGCCCCCTTTGGCTCGCGGCCCGCCGCCCGTCATCCGATGGCCCACGGTGGGGCCGAGACGAGATGGAGTTGGGCGGCAGCTCGCCCCTGAGGTTGCTGGAAAAAAAAACGAAAGCTTGCCGCGGACTAGCGGTATCCACTTGACTCACCCGGGAGTCTCGCATCTTGAGCCAGAATGGTTACGGAGAGGAGGAGGAGGAGGAGGAGGAGGAGGAGGAGGAGGAGGAGGAGGAGGAGGAGGACGACGAGGCGAGGGATGAGGAGGTGGAGGAGGCGGAGGAGGAGGCGGAGGAAGCGGCAAAGGAGGGCAAGCCCAGAGCAACCCCGGCCCTGGGGCCCCGGCATGGCTAGGATCGGTGCGGGCGGGAAGGGGGAGGAAAGCAGTTGGCGTCCCCCAGCCTTGGGGGTCCTGCTGTGCCTCTCCGAGCCTTGCGGGCTCCGCCTCCCAGCCGTCGACGAGCCTCTCTGGGGCGTCCCCACCTCGAGGGTCCAAAACTGGTGCCTCCGCCGTCGAGGGAGGGGCATGGATGGGGGCGTCCAACGGAGCAGGTGATCCCCAGACACGCAACGGCTGGACAAGACAAAACGCTTGTTGTTGTCGTGTTCGGCCTCTGGGAGCCCTCGCCAGGCCGCGAGACCGTCATAAAACGGCTCAGCATGATAAGCTGGCCCTGTGGAGAGTGTCGGGACTTCCAGGGACCGCGTACGGAAATCATCAAGACAACGCATGTTTGGGTCTCGTCATCCCCGCGGCGAGCCGTGAGGGCATCTTTGCCGGCCTCCTCAGGACCGCTGGCCTGCGCGGCTTGTGACTAGTTCCTACAGGTTCCCCTGGCAGAGGGAAGAAGACGAAAGGATGAAGACGACGACGAGGACGATTAGAGACACCACGACACATCGCGGACGACGCGACCTGGCCATTGCGAGGTTGTTGAACACAAAATATGGAAAACAAACAAAACAAACAACAACAATCTTCATGGCGGTGCTAAGAGGGTCGCCACCAGGAGCGCTACGCTGACGCGGTGGCGGGACTTGCCGCAGGCAGCTGGATCATGTCACCTGCATTTCCGCAGCTGCACCCTGCTCATCTCTGCTTTACTCCACGCTGCTTAGAAAAACATAGAGTACCGCAAACAGAACAAAATAATGGGGAGAAGGAAATACACGAAGCGGCGCCTGCACAGGGGTAGCCACGCGCAGGCCCACCAGATTCGGAGGAGGACGACGACGACAGTCGAAACACTTGTAACAACCGAGTGGACTAGATGCTGCCGGAATGCTGGAATGAAGAGGGTGTTCGGCTGATATGAACTCAGAGCACATGAAACTACAATCGGAAGTACCTCACTCGTGGTCCAAAGCGCAGAGAGCACCATCTTCAAGAAGTGCGCCAAAAGTGATGTGCTTTCGCACTTTACCAGGACATCCTTGTGAGTGTTTCAAACGATGCTCAATATCGTCAACAAAACCTCTCGAACAAAATCTTTGAACAGCTCTGGTGGCTGTTTGCTGGATTATGGGAATACCGGCCAAACAGCAGGCCGCACCGCTACGGCCCTGCAGGCCTCCAGAAGGGCCTCAGGCAGCCCAATGGTTTCCCAGCGGGGTCCAGGAAAGGACTCTAGAAACGAGGCTGGGAGATCGCGCTTCTGCCCCACGAGGGCCCAAGTCGGCGGCCCAAGAGGCCCGCCGAGAGGCCCTCCAAAGGGCCTCCCAAGTCGCTCCAAAAGCTGCAGCGAAAAAAACGCACAAGCGAGCAACCAGTCAACGCCACAGATATCCCCAATTACAACAACTTCTAAGGAGAGGCTGAACCTCGGCAAAATTCCAAGCCACGCTGGGTCGGTCGTTCCCGTGGAGGAAAGCTGTCGTCTGCACAATTCTTCGCCCAGCCACCGCCTCAACGCTCGGCTCGTAGGAGACCTCGGCGTTCTGCTGCGCCGTCGCCTGGGCACCCTGGAAGCTGCGCAACTCTGAGACGCCATGGGCATGACGACATTCGGCGCCCTTCTTGCAGTACCCTTGCTCGAAGAAGTTGCAGAGCCTTAGCGGCTAAGCGGGCAATGGAAAAACATTTCAGCTGTTTCACCCGTCTTCATTCTGCTGTTCGTTTCCCACTGTCTGCGCCCTTACTGATTCCGCGCCCGTGCAGAATCGGAATATACGTTCGCCGTTTCGGCTTGGCGTCGTGTTCCAAGGTTTCTTCACCTCGTTCATTGGATTCGTAATCTAGCTCACGGATTCTCTCGATATCTGAATGTGACTTCAAACCGTCTGCAGAATCCCAAGAACTCTTGACGCACGATCGGCACTTGGAGCACCCCACGATAAACTCCTAGTTCACCGCTTCCGTTCTCAACGATCGGCGGTTTGTCGCCAGTTCTGTTCCGCTTCTGGGTATGGGCACCACTTTCCTCCCGCTCTCATAATAGACTCACCCTGCTGCGGGAACACAAGACCAAAACCAGCCAGCATCGAATGGGGAAATCCGCCGACCCCCTGTGGGTCTCTAGGCGTGTGAGATTATTATCCCGGCCCCCAAATCCGCCGACCCCTTGGGGATCATCGGCGTGTGAGATGCTTTCCCCCTCCCCAAACCCCTCCCCCGGGAGCCTGGTCCGGTCGATTTGGAGGGGGGGGGGGGGGTCGACCACGAGCGCGTCATGGGGCTCTTTCGGTCCCAAGAGGGGCTACAGACCGCCCAGGAATGCCCCAAGAGGCCTCCAAGACCGCCCACGAGCGCCTCGAAACGCCAAACGAGCGCTCGGAGACGCCCAAGGTGTGCCCAAGACAGCCCAAGAGGCCTCCAAGACGTCCCAAGAGGTCCCCAAGAGGCCTCTTGGGAGCGGCCCAAGAAGCCAAAATCGTTGATTTTCCATTGGTTTTTGAAGGAAGGGGGCCTTCTCGCCCTTTCGGCTTTCCGACGCTCCAAGACGGCCCAAGAAGCTCCCAAAACCGCCCCAAGACGGCCCAATATTCCCCCAAGACGGCCCCAAGACGGCCAGAGAGGGCCCAAAGACGGCCCAAGAGCCGCCCCAGACGGCCCAAAAGGCTCCCAAGACGAGCCCAAGAGGGGGTGAAGAGGGGGTGAAGAGCGCAAAAGTGGACCCTGCCAAACCATCCCAAGGCAAATTTCGAACCCTCGGCCCCAAGAAGCCCCCAAAAGGATCCAAGAGGCCCCCAAGAAGCCACAAATAAGCCCCAACAACCCCCGAGAGGCCCACAATAGACCCCAAGAGACCCCAGAACGGCCCCCAAGAGACTTCAAGAGTGCTCCGAGAAGGCCCCTGACAGACATACCAGGACACCTTCAAGAGGCTCCAAAGACGGCTGCAAGAGGGGGGACAATGTACATCAAGGGGTCGGCGGTGTGGCGTAAGCCCAAGAATCAGGAATGTGACCCCCCCCATGGTCCGGCATGAACGCGGCATGGAGGGATAGAGGGCCCCCCAACGACCCAAGAGGACCCCAAGACACACTGAAGACGGTCCAAGAAGGCCGCGAGTCGCTGAAAGAGCGTTCCAAACCCTTGAGATTCCCTCCAGACAGCTCAAGATGCTCCCAAGACGCCCCCAAAAGGCTCTAAGGAGGCCTCCCAACATAGCCCCAGCAGACACACATCGTTCAATTTAGGTAAACGTGCACTTTTAGCATGTGCGACCCTTGGTCCCTCACGGCGTTGACGACGGCGCAGAAAGCCACCAAGACCGCCCCAGGACGGACCAAGAAGCCTCTAAGAGAGCTCCAAGACCGCCCCTCAGGGCCAAAGGACGGCCCAAGAGGAGCCCAGGACAACCCAAAAGGGTCCCAAGACGGCTCCACGAAGGGCCCAAGAGCAGGAGCCTAAACGGACATTTCGTGCTCTCCGCTCCAAGATGCACTCAGGAGGCCACTGAACGCCCCAGAACAGCTTCAACAGGCCCCCAAGAGGCCCCAAAACGAGCCCCCCGAAGCTTCAAAACTGCTTCTAAACGGCGCCCGAAAGATGTCATAAAACGGTCCTAGGGAAGTGGTCGGGAAGAGAGCCCCAAAATGGCACCAGAAAATTTCCACGCAGCCCTAGAAGCCTCTAAAACAGCTTCAAGAGAGGGCTTCGACGGGAATGCAAGGACGGACATCACGAGCCCTCGGCTTCGACCGGGCTCCAGAAGCCCAAAAAGCCCCTCAAGGGGGCCGGCGACTCCCCCAAGTCTTCCAGGAATCCCCACGAGGCCCCCAAAAGCTCCCAAAAGACCCCCACGTGGGTCCCAAGGACCCGACCATTGCCGCCTCCCCCCCCCAACAAGAACACATTCTGAAGAGAGCCCAAGAAGCATCCCTGAATAGCCTGACCACTAGCCTCCTCCTCCTCCTCCTCCTCTTCCTCCTGTTGCTCCGCCCTCTCCCCTGCCATCCTCCTCTTCCTCCTCCTCCTCCTCTTCCTCTCCTGCTGCTTCCAGCGCTATCATCATCCTACTCGTCATCCTCCCTCTTGCTCTCCTTCCAGGTCCTCATTCCACGGACTTTGAGACGCGTGGCACCATTGCAGACTTCAGTTCCACAGTAGTTACAGAACGGACATCATGTGCATGACGTGCACTTCAGGGTGCCGCTCCAAGATGCACCCAGGATGCCAAATGACGCCCCCGAACAGTTTCAACATGCCCCCAAGGAACCCAAAAACGAACCCCACGAAACTTTTCAAACGTGCTTCCAAACGGCGCCCGAAAGACGTCATAAAACGGTCTTAGGGAAGCGATCGGGAAGAGCAGACCAAACTGGCCCCAGATAGTCTCCACGCAACCCAAGAAAATTCTAAAAAACAAGTCCAATAGAGGGTGGTTTCGACGGGAACCGGGAACGGACATCACGAACCCTCGGCTCTGCGACCGGGTTCCAAAAAGCCCGAAGAACTCCCAAGAGCCCCCCGAGTCCGGAGACACCCGCAAGGCTTCCAGGAATCCCAACGAAGCCGCCAAAAACTCCCGAGAAACCCGCGTGGGTCCCAAGGACCCCACCATTGCCGCCCCCCCCCAAAAAAAAACATTCCGAAAAGAGCCCAAAAAGCATCCCTGAATAGCCTGGCCAGTAGCCTCCTCCTCCTCCTCCTCCTCCTCCTGTTGCTCTGCCCTCTCCCCTGCCATCCTCCCCCTCCTCCTCTTCCTCCTCCTCCCCCTCCCCCTCCTCCTATCCTCCTGTTCCTTCCCGCATTATCATAAACTTCCTCGTCGCCCTCCCTCTTTGCTCTCCTTCCCGGTCCCTCTTCCACGGATTTCGATACGCGTGGCACGGGTGCAGACTGAATTTCCACAGTGGTAACCCGAACGGACATCATTTGCATGTCTTGCGTTTCAGGGAGCCGTTGTCTTCGGCGCGCGCGACGCAGTCAGCCCTCACGAAGAACACCGACTTCGGCAATCATTTTTTGCGCGCGCCACTGCGCTGATAGGCCTGCCAACTGCGCGCCGCGAGCCCGGGGTCCTTGCAAGAACCGCACACCGCTCGCGTCTGTTTCGTTTTGCGATGATGTTCCACGTGGCCCTTCCTTACATGTTTCGCATCCGAGAACGTTCCCCCGCACGACGCGCACGTCAACATGTTTTCCCCCGCTTGTGGATGTGCGCCTCGAATGCCAGTTCCTGACGTTCCTCCGCACATGTCCGACAAAACCTCTCCACCGCTGCGCGATGCTTCTTCCGCGCATCCGATATATCCGTCTTCCCATCGAACAGCGACAGGCACTTGCAGCTCGAACATCGCACTTCTCTCTCGTTCCCCTTCGCACTTCCACGGCGCGGTGTCTGCTGCGCTTCACATGGCTGCATGTCGCGCAACACATGGTCCGAATCTGTTTCGGCCCCTCCGCGCCAGCACCTTCCGCGCCTCACGCATCGCCCCCGCGCTGCGCCCGTCCGCCCCGCCCCCACTGCTCAGCAAATGCATTGCGCGTGCTGCGTCATTTCTCGTCCGCGCGTTTCATTTCCGCCGCGCATTCTTTACAAAGCGCCGGCCTCTCTTTCCACTGGAACTCGCGCTGCGCCAAGAAAGTCCTCTGCGAGAAGCCTCCGCCAGCACCGCTCGCGCCGGTCTCGCGGAAGTCGTTTTGCCCCTCGCCCATGACCGCCTACCAAGCCGCCCCGGCCCGACCCGAAGACCAGAATTTCACGCAAACTTCGGGTCGGGGGGGCACGGGCTTCATGTGCGTTTTCTCAATGTTCCCGGCCCCCCCCCCCCCCCGCGCTGGAAACGGAAAGCAAATCGGGGCCGTCGGGTTGGGTCAGGATGGCCTGGTGGGCGGCGGACTCATCCCAGTCCACGCTTTCACCTCGGAGCACCTGCAACAGCTCCTGCGCGCTGGCCATCTCGCCCACGTCGGGCGCCTTCCTATCGAAAAGCCGAAAGATCCATGAGTTCCCTCGCTTTCGCGCGCGCGATGGCAACGTGCCTCGACGTCCAACTCTCGCCGCGCCCTCCGTTAAGGCCATCGCTGCGCGCGCGGCCCGCCCCTGCGCGGCGCGCGCCGTCGCTGCCGACGACGAGGCGATCGCGGGCGGCGCGCTTGGCGCCCAGCGACCCCGACGCCCGCCCCAGAACCGCCGGCGCTTTCGATCGAAAAGTTGGACGCAGCGCTGGCCCCCAAATTGGGAGGCGCCAGTCCTTCGCGCGAGAATCCAGCACTATGAACTTTGGCGGATGCATCGCGACGAACTCGTCTTCGCCCCCCGCGGCCTCGCCCTCGCGCAACGCCCATCCACGAACCGTCGCCGCGCGCCCCCGTGGAAACTGTTTTTCCGAGCGACCCAGGCGGCCCCCGGAAGCAGCGGGCATGCCATTCGCGGGCGGGAGCCACCTCGGCAAGCTCGCGCACTCCTTGTCGCGCTACCCCATCGCGCGTTGTCCTCCGCTGTGCACGGCCTTTTCTGCTCACCCCCGTGGCGCGCGCGATCTCCTGCCGCGCCCCGCAGGCGCCGCCCCCCTCGCGCCTTCGCCCACTGCGCGGCCCTCTGCTCCCCCGCCCGGCGCACAATGACCTGGTCGGCATAGTTTGCGACGGCGTCGACAGACTTCTCCGGCCGAAACCGCGCGTCGCCCCGCGACGTCGCGGCGGCTCTCCGTTCCTCTCGCCCACCTTTGCGCACTTTGCACTCGACCGCACGGTGCGCGGCGCACGCCTCAGCGTCGTCTTGACAACGCGCGTCTCTGCGATGCACTGCGCCTCCCGCCCGCGACCCCGGCGCGCCCGCTGGCGCCCCGCGTTAGAAATTGCACGCGCGTTCACTCGGCGCCCCATCGCCGGAACTCGTCTTGCACGCCCAAGAACCAATCGCTCCACTCTTCCGCGCGCTTGCACTCTGTCAACTGTCAACTCCGTCATTACCCGCGCTGCCCTTTCGCCTCCCACGCCACAGGAGATGCGCTGGCCGCGGGCCTCAGTCGCCCCCTGCGCGCACTTCTCGGCGCTCTTCGAACGCGACACTGGCAGCGCGTTCATTGCCGCTCCAGACGGCCGCACCAGCTGGTGGGAGTCTCCGCGGAACAACGCGCTCGCGCCCCCGAAGGGCCCGCCCTCGCTGTTTGCCCGAACTTCCGCCCCGCGCGCTGCTGACATGCACGGCCGCAAATGCGAATCCAGCTCGGCCAGGAAAAGTTCGCGCCCACCTTGCAGATCTCGCCCATGATCAGCCACTTCCGCTGCGACATCCGCAGAGCGGCCACAAATATCATTCGTCTTCTTTTTCGCCCGCGCGCCCCCGTCGTTTTCGGCCATCTGGCCCTTCGACGCGTTGGCGCCCATGCCAAATGCACTGCGGATGATGTTCGCGCCCGGCGTTGAGGCGCCAGCGGCTTGCAGCGCTGTCGCCGGAAATCCAGCGCCGAGCGCCCAGCCCACTGCCTGTTCAAACAATTATTCGCGCTTCGTTTCCGCGACCAAACTATTTCCCGCCCCCGGCCCGCCGCGCAAAACCCACTGCGGGGGCTCGCCCCCCGCCCTAGCCAACTAAACTGCCCTACCCCGCGCGCCCGACGCGAATTCTTGCGCGAGCACGCGATCTGCCACTTCCCTCACGACACTGATTTGCCCCGCTTTCAAGTCTCCGCTGGCGAAACCTTTCCTCCATTCTCGCACACTGGGCGCCGACGCCTTCTGCCCCGTCGCGAGGGGCCACCCCCTAGGCTGCTTTCCTGCGATATTGAACCTGCGGCCGCTGCTGCCGTCGTTTTTTTCGCTACGTCGTCGCCCCGCGCCAACAACCCCATGGTTGCTGGCTTCTTGCTTTTCCCGCTCTTCCTGCTGGCGTCTTCGCCCCATTCGGCGCCCCCTCTGGCCATCGCTTCCTTGCTCCTGTCCTCTTCAACTTCGATGGAAAGGTTCATCCGCAGATCTGCTTTCTCCGCGGGCGCGTCGCCGACGCGAGTCTCCCCCCTCGCGGCTGCGTCGACAATCCTCGGGTCCAACTCTTCATCGCTGCGCAGCTTATCTACGCGTTTGATGAGGTCTTCATTCGTCACGGGTTGGATGTCTACCACGCCCGCGCAATTCTGAACATGCTTGTTCGTCTCTTATCACGGCATCCCGCCTCTTAACAATTCCAGCGACGCCTCGCCCAACGATCCGCGCGGACCGCGGAATTCACGTAAATGCGGCACTCCGCGGCCAACGTCCCCTCGCTGCACGAACGCCCGAAAACATGCCATCAAAACAAGCCCATTCCCGTCCTCTTCTTCAACCCCGCGCGTCGGCCGCGGCGCCCCACGAAAACTTGGATTCCACGGGCGCTCGTTCCGCGCCAATGCCCACGCGTGTCTCAGAGCTTCAGTCCCAGAAGCCACGCGTGTCTCAGAGTTCCCATCTCAGAAACATCGGGGAACGGGACCCACGCGTCGCGCCCACCTCCTTTCACAACGTACATAAACGCCTGCTTTCGACTGCGCCACGACCTGCGGGTCCCCTTCGCTGCCCTTCTCTCTCTCTCTCTCTCTTTCGCGTTCTGCCTCGCGCGCTTTCTGCGCGCCTGCAACCGTCAACGCCGCCCGCCACTCGTCGCCCGCTGCCGCCGACAATTCCACTTCGCTGCGGGGAAAAGCCGCCAGTTCCGCGCGCCAGCACCGCAAGGACTCGCAAAGGGAGCGAAATGCTAGCGCTGGTGCCCTTGGTTCGCCCACCAGACGCATGCCATACAACTTCGCTGTGCGCTTGCCCAAAACTCCCCCAAAAACCCCAAGAGGCCGCCCAACAAAAACCCAAGAGGCCACAAGGAGCCCACAAGAGGGTTCCAAGAGGCCCCAAAAAGGCATCCACCAGGCCCCACACCAGGCCCCACACCGTCTCGTCTGCACGTGCTCCAGACGTGCACCCCGCGAAGCGAAGAAAAACCGGATCGAATCGAAATGTACGTCGGATCGACCCGCATCGGGAAAGTGCATAAAAACAAAAATTCGATGGTCCGCGCGGATTTCTTGGATCTGCGCCAGAGCCCCCTCCCTGGCGCGCGGAACGCGCCAAGGGCGGCGCCGGAGGCACCGCCAGGGGGCACAAAGCAGACACAAGAAATCGGCACGGAACTCCAAAAAAACCATGCCGATGGCGATTTTCATTCTTCGAGTGCCGGGAAAGAGTAGTAATGGAATCGGATACGGCAGCGCCAGGATGCACAATAGCGCCAATGCGGGCATCGGGCCTCACCACCTCCTCGATACATCGGAGTCGGAGCGGACCCAGGCAGCCCGGAATCCATATCGAATATTGTGCAGCAACTCACGCGAGCCGCCCATGTCATGTTGCTGGCTCTTGCGAATCGACGCTCACCGAAGCTAATCGACGCTATTCGACGCTTGGCGTTCTTATTGATTACCAGACGCTACCGAACGCTAATGCACCCTGAAGACGGAATTCCGAGAACATGCAAGGCTCCCATGAGTTGCTACCGCACGAAGCGGACCGTTCGGATCGAAATGGACCCTGGAAGTGTGAAGGAGTTAATGAAGGACCATCACCCAAAAGGCATGAAGAGAACGGGTCCTGAGGGAAACGGGTCCTGGAACCTTGGGGCTTTCCCTAGGGACCAGCTTCTCATCCTGAGTAGCTATTTGACGGTCCTGGGGCCTGGCAAGGGCCTTTGGAGGCCCAGAGCTGCAAAAATAGAGCCGCGCAAGCCTTGCCCCACCGCCGCCGCGCCAGCTCTCTGAAGAGGCTAGAAATACCTGCTGCTACAAAGGCGTCAGCAACTGAGCAATGAGCTGAGCAACGGTCAATGCCAATGCAAACAAGAGAAACAGCGCAGTTGCGAAGGCCAGGATTATCGCGAAGCTTGAAAGGGTCGCGCTCAGTGGGGCGGGACAACGTCAAGACTGTGGATGGATAGCCAGCTGTGACACCGCCGAGCCAAGATGGCTCGCATTCCTCTGCGTACATGGCAAGATGGCATCTTGGGCCAATTGAGCCCAAGAATGGGGACAACAACAATGAAAAAAATGCCAGACAGAAAGCGCGGTCGGACCTTGACAGCGACTGCTGACGTGGCGACGTCGTTCGCAAAACATAAATCTAACATTGGGACCGTCCGAAGGGAAACGGACAACGATCTCCGTTCAAAAGGAACTGCTGTCAGTCACCGTCTCCATTCGTATCGGCCCGGTGCCCACGTTTCAGAGCTGCCTGAAAAATCCCATGTCAAGCTGGATTCACATTAGTCTGTGCAGACCTGGGGCGCGATCCCGCGCATACGCGGTCGCACGGACACTTTCGCACGGGGCATCCGCAGATCGAGCATCAGAATGTGATCCACGGCGGCCCAAGCAAGCACGCACAGAGCATCTGGCGCCTTCATCGCCGCCCCTGGCGCGCGGAGCGCGCCAGGGAGGGGGGTCAGGCGCGCATGCGGGATAAGCTGAAATCTGGAGGCGGAAAAGGAGGAGGAAGAGGCGGAGGAGAAAAGCGGAAGGGGCTACCAGGGGCAGCTTCTGCAATCCGGGCTCTTTGGCGGCCGGATGCGCGGGTTCGCCGTGACCTCCAGAGACGCTACGGTCACCTGCGGGCAAGGTCCCCCGGCCGACAGGACGGGGCGCTGGAGGCGCCGCCAGGGGGACCGAGCGCAGATCCAAGATATCCGCGCGGAGCTCCGAAAGTTTATGTTTATGGCGATCGCTGTTCGAAAACAGCCGAAAACCTTAAATCGATGTTTTTCACTGCGCGAGCATGGACCCTGAAAAAGCGCGCCCCTGCCGCTTCCACAGGTAGGCAAGAATATGCGTACCCTACCCCTGCAGGTCAAATTTCTGAATCGCCGGCTGGGGTTCAGAATTCGAACCCCAGCGGGCGGTGAACCCTAGTGGGAGTGTCAGGTACCCCAGCGTCGATAGGACCCGCAGGGGTAGGGTTCGCACGTGGTCGCAGGAAAGGCCCCCCGAACGCGGAACTGCGTCTTGTACACGCTCGGCGTCACGCGCAGCTCCTGCTCGCCGTGGGCAAACTTGCACCCGCTGACGCGGCACTGCCCCCGCGCGAAGGCGCGGCACATGGCGGTCTTGGTGAGGTCGGGCGCCTTGCGCAGCTCCTTCCACATGGGACGATTACAGACGTGCTGGTACTACGCGCTCCCCAGGGAGGCGCAAGTGGGAACCGAACACAGTGCACAAATACCTTGCAACAAGTCGTTACCCGGCCGGCAGGGCCAAAGAGCTCCTAGGGGGCCGACGCACACATAGTCCGCTACCATGCCTTTAGCACGAAGTGGAGTGCCCCAAGGCTCCTGCTCCCCAGAATTGAAGGGTTTCTCAAATTCTTAAGGCCTTCGACCCCGGTTTCCCCAGGCGCTTCTGGGCGTTCCTGGGTTCTGGGGTGTTTCACGTGGGTCTCCCGCACGGCAACCCCGCCCAGAAGGGCTCCAAAACGGGCCCAGATGGTCCCGGGAGGCCCCCAAAACGGTCCAAGAGGGCCCCCAGTCGCCCCGTGATCGTTCCCAGACGCCCAAGGTGACCTCAAGACGGCCAAAGAGAAGCCCCCAATAAGCTCCAAGGAAGCCCCAAAAGCACTGCCAAGAGGCCCCAAAAATGCCAAAATCATGTATTTCCCGTCAGGTTTTTGAAGGAAATTAGCGCTCTCGCAACATATGGCTTTCGACGCTTCAAGACAGCCCGAGGTCCCCACGATCGGCCCAGGACGGCCCAAGATCCGAAATGGCCCCAAGACGACCCAAGACGGCCAAATAGAGCTCCAAGAGGGGCCTGAGAGAAGGCCACACAAGGGAAACACGAACCAACATGTCGAGCCACCCTGAGACGGCCAGCAGGCCCCCTAGAGGCCCCCCACAAGCTGTGCCCCCAAGAAGCCCAAATCAGGCCCCAAGAGGCTCCCCAGCGACCCCCAAAGACACCCCACAACCGAATCCAAGAGGCTTCCGAAATGCCCCCAAAGAGGTCCCCACAGGCATCCCAGATGCCTGCGACTTACAACCCAGGCACGGTGGCAGGATGGGCCGAATGCCACCAGATCCGCCGCCCCCTGCTTGCAGGGGTGCACGGCGTGCTGGATGAGCTGCCAGGTTTTGGTTTTGGTTCTTTTTCTAAAAGAACTCCCCAGTGGGCTTCGACCCGTCCCGCCGGCCACCCTTCCAGGACCTCAATTCCCCAATTTCCTGCCCAAAAACGGCCGTTTCGCTCGGGACATCCTCAAAAAATCGCGAAGATGGCCCAAGATGGCCTCCAAGTCCGCCCGAGATGGTCCAAGACGGCCTCCAAAACGGCCCAAGAGAGTCCAAGACGGCCCAAGACGGCCCAAGAGGCCCCCCAGAGGCCTCCCAGACGGCCCAAGAGGCCTCCAAGAGGTCCTCCAGGAGAGTCCGAAGAGGCCAAAATCATTGATTTTCCCTTGGTTTTTGAAGGATTTTGGCATTTGCGCCTTTTCGGCTCTCCGACGGCTCAAGACGGCCCAAGAAGCCCCCAAGATCGCCCAAGAGGCCCCCAAGAGAGCGCCATGATGGCCCAAGTGGCCTCCAAGATGGCCCCTAGAGGGCCCCAAGAGGGCCCAAGAGGCCTCCAACACGCCCAAGATGGCCTCCCAGACGCCCAAGATGGCCTCCAAGACGGCCCTGGAGCATTCCAAGCGGGCCCCAAGTCGGCCCATAGAGGCCCCCCAAACGGCTTCCGACGGCTTCAGACGTGCCAGGAACCCACCAAGATGGCCGAAGTTGGCTCGAAGCTGGCCCGAGACGGCCCAAAAAGCCCCAAAGATCGCCCAAAGCTTGCCCAAGAGGCCTCCAAGACGGCCAAGATGACCTTCAAGATGCCCACGTGTTCCCCGAAGGCTTTCCAAACCGATTCGGGGAACACGTGGTCCGATAGCTTGGCAGGTCTGGCCTCAACGTTCGGCCACATAGGCGCTTCCAAAAAGGCAGGGGGCGGCGGTGATTCGCCGTAGGCGTCTTCGATCCGCCGCCCCCTGCTTGCAGGGGTGCACGGCGTGCTGGATGATTCAGGTTTTGGTTTTGGTTCTTTTTCTAAAAGAACTCCCCAATGGGCTTCGGCCCGTCCCGCCGGCCACCCGCAAATTTCCCAAAATCCATCTGTCAATGCCCAAAAACGGCCGTTTCGCTCGGGACATCCTCAAAAAATCGCGAAGATGGCCCAAGATGGCCTCCAAGTCCGCCCGAGATGGTCCAAGACGGCCTCCAAAACGGCCCAAGAGAGTCCAAGACGGCCCAAGACGGCCCAAGAGGCCCCCCAGAGGCCTCCCAGACGGCCCAAGAGGCCTCCAAGAGGTCCTCCAGGAGAGTCCGAAGAGGCCAAAATCATTGATTTTCCCTTGGTTTTTGAAGGATTTTGGCATTTGCGCCTTTTCGGCTCTCCGACGGCTCAAGACGGCCCAAGAAGCCCCCAAGATCGCCCAAGAGGCCCCCAAGAGAGCCCCATGATGGCCCAAGTGGCCTCCAAGATGGCCCCTAGAGGGCCCCAAGAGGGCCCAAGAGGCCTCCAACACGCCCAAGATGGCCTCCAAGACGCCCAAGATGGCCTCCAAGACGGCCCTGGAGCATTCCAAGCGGGCCCCAAGTCGGCCCATAGAGGCCCCCCAAACGGCTTCCGACGGCTTCAGACGTGCCAGGAACCCACCAAGATGGCCGAAGTTGGCTCGAAGCTGGCCCGAGACGGCCCAAAAAGCCCCAAAGATCGCCCAAAGCTTGCCCAAGAGGCCTCCAAGACGGCCAAGATGACCTTCAAGATGCCCACGTGTTCCCCGAAGGCTTTCCAAACCGATTCGGGGAACACGTGGTCCGATAGCTTGGCAGGTCTGGCCTCAACGTTCGGCCACATAGGCGCTTCCAAAAAGGCAGGGGGCGGCGGTGATTCGCCGTAGGCGTCTTCGATCCGCCGCCCCCTTGTGCTTTAGCAAAGGTGTGCCTGGCGTGCCATATGATATGGGTTTTGCTTTTAGCCCTTTTTCCAAAAGAATTCCCCCTGGGGCTTCGGCCCGTTCCGCCAGGGTCCCGGGAAGGATCTCAAAACCTGGTTGCAAAGGTTGTCCTGCCCCAGACGGCTCCAAGATGGCGTCCAAGACGGCCAAGATGGTCTCCAAGACGTCTCCAAGATGGCCTCCAAGACGGCTAAGATGGCCCCAAGCTGCCTCCAAGACTGCCCAACATGTCCGCAAGATGGTCTACGACGGCCCGACAGGCCCACAAGAGGCCTCGAAGACGGCCCAAGAGCCCTCCAAGACGTCCTCCAGGAAGGCCCGAAAGGGCCAAAATCATGAATGTTCCTTAGGTGTTTTAAGGATTTTGGCATTTGCGCCTTTTCGGCTTTCCGACGGCCCAAGACGGCCCAAGAGGCCCCCAAGATCGCCCAAGAGGCCACCAAAAGGGCTCCATGACAGCCCAAGTGGCATCCAAGACGACCCCAAGAGGGCCCCAAGACGGCCCAAGAGGTCTCCAACACGCCCAAGATGGCCTCCAAGACGCCCAAGATCAAGAGAGCCCCAAGTCGGCCCAGAAATGCCCCCAAGGCGCCTCCCGACGGCGTCAGACGTGCCAGGAACCCACCAAGGTGGCCGCAGTTGGCTCGAAGCTGGCCCAAGACGGCCCAAGAGGCCCCCAAGAGGCCCCCAAGAGGGCCCCCAGGAAGGGCAGAAGAGGCCCAAAACATTCATGTTCCTAAGGTTTTTGACGGATTTTGACATTTGCTTCTTTTAGGCCTTCCGACGGCCCGAGACGGCCCAAGAGCCCCCGAAGATCGCCGAAAGATCGCCCAAGAGGCCTCCAAGAATGCCCCAAAACTGCCCAAGAGGGCCCCAAGACGGCCCCAAGAGGCCCCCAAGACGGCACTGGAAGCCTTCAAGACGCCCAAGATGGACCTCCAAGACGGCCCTGGAGCATTCCAAGCGGGCCCCAAGTCGGCCCTTAGAGGCCCCCCAAGCGGCTTCCGACGGCGTCAGACGGACCAGGAGCCCACCAAGACGGCCGAACATGGCCCTAAGATGGCCCAAGACGGCCCAAGAGGCCTCCAAGAGGGCCTCCAGGAAGGCCCGAAAATGCCAAAATCATAGATTTCCCATGGTTTTTGAAGGATTGTGGCATTTGCTTTTTGTTCTGCCTTCCGACGGCCCGACACGGCTCAAGTGCCTCCAAAGATCGCCCAAGAGGCCCAAGACACGACCCCAAGAGGCCCCCAAGACGGCCCAAGAGGTCTCCAAGACGCTCAAGATGGCCTGCAAGACGGCTCAAGAGCCCTCCAAGACGTCCTCCAAGAAGGCCCGAAAGGGTCAAAATGGCCTCCAGACGGCCAAGATGACCTTCAAGCAGAAGCCCACCAAGACGGCCAAAGAGGCCTCCGAGAAGCCCCCAACGGCCCCCAAGAGGTCCAACGAGGCCCCCAGGATGCCTCCCAAGAGGCTCCCAAGAAGCTTCCACGAGGCCCAAGAGTGTCGCCGTAGGCTCCCAATATGCCCCTCCTCCTCCTCCTCCTCCTCCTCCTCCTCCTCGTCCTCCTCCTCCTCCTCCTCCTCCTCCTCCTCTTCCTCCGGCTCCTCCTGATCTTCCCCGCCATCCTTCCCCAAGAGTTCCACGAAGGGTTTCCACAACGGTTGGGGGAACACATGGTCTCGCCACAACGCCACAACGCTCGGCCACATGGGCGATTCTAAAGGGAGGGGGCGGCGGTGATTCGCCGTAAGCTTCTTCGATCCTGCGCCCCGTGTGGTCTTGCCACAGGGGTGCCCGGCGCGCTGGATTTCTCACGGTTCGGTTTTGGTTATTTTACAAAAGAACTCTTCCCTGGGGCTTCGGCCCATCCTGCCGGCCACGCGGAAATCGCGCAATTCTCATACAAATCCTCCAAAGACGGCTCAAGATGGCTTTCAAGACCACCAAGATGGCCCAAGATGGCCTCCAAGATGTCCAAGATGGCCTCCAAGTCGGCGAAGATGGCCCCAAGATACCTTCACGACGGCCCAAGATGCCTCCAAGATGATCCAAGATGGCCTCAAGATGACCCAAGACGGACCAAGAGGCCCCCAAGAGGCCAACATCATTGATTTTCCTTCGGTGTTTGAATGATTTGGGCACTTGTTCTTCTTCGGTCCTCCGACGGCCCGAGACGGCCCAAGAGTCCGCAAAGATTGCCCCAAGATCGCCCAAAAGGCCTCAAAGCTGGCCCCAGAACGGCCCAAGAGGCACCCAAGACTGCCCCAAGAGGACCCCAAGACGGTCCACGAGGCCTCCAAAACGCCCAAGATGGCCTCCAAGATTGCCCTGAGCACCCAAGAGGGCCCCAAGTCGGCTCAGAGAGGCCCTCAAGACAGCTTCCGAGGGCGTCCGACGGGCCAGAAGGCCATCAAGACGGCCCAAGATGGCGCCAAGATGGTCCAAGGCAGCCCAACAGGCTCCAAGAGGTCTCCAAGACGGCCCCCAAGAGGCCTCCAAGAGGCCTCCAAGATGTCCTGCAGGAAGGCCCGAAGAGGCCAACATCACTGACTGTCCGAAGGCATTTGAAAGATTTTGGCATGAGCTTCTGTTCGATCTTCCGACTGCACAAGACGGCCCACGAGCCCCCAAATGGCGCCCGAAGATCGCCAAGGAGGCCCCCAAGAGGGCCCCTAAGCCAGCCCAAAAGGCCTCGAAGACATCCAAGAGGGCCTCCAAAACGGCCGTGGAGCACCCCAAGAGGGCCCCAAATCGGCCCAGACAGGCCCTCAGGACGGCTTCCGATGACGTCCGAAGCGCCAGGAGGCCATCAAGACGGCCCAAGATTGCTCCAAGATGGCCCACGACGGCCCAAGAGGCCCCTAAGAGGTTTCCAAGACAGCCCCAGAGGCCTCCAAGAGGGCCTCCAAGAGGGCCTCCAGAGAGGCCCGATGAGGCCAACATCATTGATTTTCCTTGGGTGTTCGAAGGATTTGGGCATATGCTTTTGTTCGATCTTCCGACGGGCCCAGGATGCCTCGAAGACGCCGAACATGGCCTCCAAGATGGCCGTGGAGCACCCCGAGAGGGCCCCAAGTCGGCCTAGAGAGGCCCCCAACACGGCTTCCGAGGGCGTCAGACGGGCCAGGAATGCCATGAGACAGCCAAAGAGGCCCCCGAGAAGCCCCCAAAGGCTCCCAAGCGGCCCAAGGCGGCCCCCGGATACCTCCCAAGAGGCTCCCAGGAAGCTTCCACGAGGCCCCAAGAGTGCCCCCAGAAGCTCCCCAAATGCCCCCTCCTGCTCCTCCTGCTCCTCCTCCTCCGGATCTTCCCCGCCATCCTCCCCCAAGCGTTCCCCGAAGGGTTTCTCCAACGGCTGAGGGAACACATGGCCCGATAGCTTGGCAGAGCTCTTGCCGCAACGCTCGGCCACATCGGCGATTCCACAAGGCAGGGGGGGCGGCGGTGATTGGCCGCAGGCGTCTTCGATATAAGTATGTGTAATACTGGTCCAAGGGCTCGGGAAGGATAGACAATATCAATGACACGCACGTCGCCTTCCAAACTGCGCGTGTTACTCATCCGCCCTCCGTGCAAAAAACCTCAGCTTCTCAGAAGTAGCACGCTGGGTCGTCCAACGAGCGTGGCGTTGATACTGAGGTTGCTCTCCGAAAGGCGGGCAAACGGTGCGGCCCGCAATGGCGTGGTGCGATGCGGCGTTGTACGCGAAACTGGTTTGTGAATCTGCCCGCGCTTTTTCAGAGAGCAACTCTCCGTGTCTAGCCGTAACCGCATCGGAAGTGGACCGTGTCGCAGCAGTGGCGCAGCTCGTTCAACCCATCCACATGCCCAACACTGACCGATCTACCCCCCTAGATGGGGATACGTGCTGTTCCCTTCG